TCTGGTTCATGGTTTTTAGAAAAAAAAATTAAGGCTCAAAATATTTGGTGCCCACCCATTCTTCATGATGTTCTCCAACCCTATGTTCAGTTAATTCAACATGAGTGTTCATCTCTCAAAAGGATTTTGTGACGGTCAAGGAAACGACGAGGCTATCGGAGTAGAAACCAACCTCATGTCTTCGTGTTTGTAGTCACCAATTTGTTCTTTGCTGAGGACTTTTCTTTGCAGTCCTTTTCTTTGCAATTTTTATTTTCCCTACCTTTGGCCTGAACTAATTCTTTTGAATTGATAGTCCAGCGGGAGGCCTTAATTTTGCCTAAGTCACACGTTTTCATGTTTTTTGACTTAGCAGGCTTTTTTCTTTTTCTCGATTTTTGACTTTTTGAACAAAATGTGTGACATTAGCTTGTCTTTGCTTGTTGAGAGGATTGTGATTGCCTCGTTTCTTGATGAATGAGGGATAACATTGTGGTTCCACATCCTCTAGATTCATTATACATGAAGGATAGCCCTTGTAGTTTCTCTTCAAAAAACATCTTCCTTATGAATTTTGAACACTCAGTCAGATTAACTAAAAACTACCCTGCCCCAGGTTAAAATTCAAGGTTTTTTCGTATAGAAAAGAAACTTATGCTTCAAAGGCTCAAAAGGGGTTAGCAAGGGATTATCTTCCTTATATCTCTGGTGTTTAGGGATTTGAAACAATGCATGTACATCATCAGCAAGATTTTATCCAAAAGCAAACAACTAGAGATTTGTGTTCTTTAGATCATCATCCTCCCTTCAATCTCTGCCTAGGCAAGAGAATGGGCAACAAGTTGGTATCATAATGCTAAAAGAAATTTAAAGTTTTGAAAACAAATATGAATTTCTTCAAGACAAACATACTCATTGTATTAAGATAATCATCAAGATGCAAACAAGTTCTTACATGCAAACAATGTTTTGATAAACAAGAAAAATTACAAAAAGCATAAATAAGTGAATAATCTGGGAAGGCTTTCCATCCGGACTTGAACTACCGAAAACATCCTTCAAAAATCAAAGTCACTATCAATCGTGTTTACTCTTCGGCACATGCTTGATTTAAACTTCAAAACCAACATCCTTGAATGACAAGATACCACTTCTGACCAACTTCTGAACCTCAATCTTCAAAGCAAAGCAACCCTCCAAGTCATGCCCAGGAGCACCTTGATGAAAGGTACAAGCCAAATCAGCTTTGTAGTACCAATGTATCTTCTCAGGAACCTTCGGTGGAGGTCGGGTCAGAACCAAATTCCTCTGCATATAGGTAATTGGAATTGGATCAAACTGGGTTTTCCTCTGATTAGGAACTTGCTGATTCTGTTGATGAATAGGAGAAACATGATGATTCTGACAATGATTATTTCTTCCTCTGGTTCTCTTCTTGGAAAAGTTATTATCAAACTTCTTCACACCATTAGCTGAGCTACCATCTTCACATGAACATCCCTTCCCAACATCTTCTTCTAGACGCACTCCAACATTCCCCTTGTCAGGAAATTCAATAGGTGAATTAACCATCACCCTCTCATGAAAGAATGATTTTAGAATTTCAGTGAAGACCTTTTCCATCACTTCTTCTTTCTTAGAAGGATTGACTCGGGCGGCAACCAGAATTTCAACCAAGCCAGTTAAGTGCTCCACACTAGCTTTCAAATTAGTCATCTCTCTGTGGAGTTCAGAAATCTCTTGCTTGATATTCTCCAATGTTCTCTTAGCGCGAGTGTTGTACTGGTGAGACCAAAGGAAAAATAAGACTCGGAAAAAGACCTTTGAAAGTGAAACAAAAAATGTAGAATGATGTATGATATGCAAAAGAGAGTTTTTATTTGATTTTCAAGGAACTCAAGATATTAAGTTGTAAACATCAAAGTATGAAGATAGAAGATGAATTTTAAATTGGATCCAAGTATTGATCAAGTTATCATCAAGATCAATTATCCATTTTGGTGGATTAGGGTTTTCGCCCTATCAACACCCAAGATCCATTGAGCTTGACGAAACTTGTGATGTTTACAAAGAAAGACCTCCAAATTCCTTCAAAGTCAAGTGAAAAGGGTTTTATGGATGCATGAATGCATGGCTATGCAACGACCACAAGCAAGGTCACAAATAAAGTCGAAAGGTTCAACGTCACGAGCATGGAGTCAAGGTAAGGAACACCCCCAAGGTATGTACTAACGGTTTAATCACACCTGTAGAACAAGGTTCTAAGAGTTCCCGGAATCTACATTCCTCCTTCGGATATTACCAACGTCTTGATTACTCAATAATCAGCAATATTCTCAGGAGAAACTCATCCGAGCGTAGCATCGCGTAACAATTACTTCCGGATTACTCCGTTATAATCTCCGCGCTACACCTAAAAGGCCAAGATGGGTTAGGGTTCTACGGTTCCCAGCTTCTCTGGCTCCCAGGTCGAAAATAATAATGTCTTCCCGATTACTCGGTAAACAAATATTACGTTCAAAAGGGCCTTCCACTGAGTGGGGGATCTCATGCCTTCTTCTTCGGGATTACTCCCTCAAAGTTAACATGACTATACCGCCTGTCCTATTCCTAGGTGTAACTTAGTCCGGGTATAGGACTTGTCCTTTGTAAATATTATCAACACCCAAATAATCATAATATATACATATAATCAAACAATCAAATAATGATAAAACAGATAAAACAAATTAGGCTTAACCCACTTAGGGATGGACCAGCAAGAGGTCAATCTTTCCCCAGCAGATTCGCCAATTCTGTAGCGGTGTTAATCGGAGATCAAGCTATTAATTAACTTGACTCGCAAAAGCAAGAGTCGCCATCGCGCTTTATTGTTTCCAAGGGAAAAGGGAAAAGAGATAAATAAAACCCTAAAATATGCAATGTAAAGTAATATTTAAAAGTAATGAAAATACAATGCATTTTTAAAGAGATCGAGAGTTCGGGAGTTGGTTATACAATGGGAAGGTATTAGCACCCAATGCATATGCGGTACTCCGCAGGAACCTTTTGAAATATCTGTTTTTGGTTAAAATTGTTTGTTTGATTAAAATGGTTTGTTTGGTCAAAATGGGTATGGACGAGATTTTGAAGATACGATGACCTAGTGTCGAAGTCTTGACTTAAAAGGTATGAGTTTGAAAATAGAGTCTTTTGGGAAAATTATCTTAAGTTTGGAAAATAGTAAATAAGCAAAAAATGAATGAGGGTATTCGCACGATTGTAGAAGATGTATTTGATGACATGAAGTCAGCTGAGTTGAAAAATTTCCCTTGGATTAAATCGAGCGAGCAAAATAAAATAGACATCAAAATATAAGCAATCAAAATTCACAAGAAAATAAATATAACGAAACAGATTAATGACCTAAAGGCATCGAGAAATTAAAATGACAAAGATATTTAAATAAAATAAAAGAGAATGCAACTAATTATCTAAAGAAGTTATTTAAACTAAATTAAAAATTTAAGATTACTTACTAAAAAAATTCTAAACTAACTACAAATTCTAAGGTTGCAAAAATAGTTCTAAAATTACGAAATTAGATCTAAGCTAAATTAAAAAAATTCTAAAAGAATATTAAACTAATTCTAAACAACTAAAATTCTAAACTTATTAAACTAATTCTAAATCAAATAAAAATTATAAACTCATTAAACTAATTCTAAATCAAATAAAGTTCTAAAGTCCCTAAACTAAAACTAACAACTAAAATTCTAAAGTTTACTAAATTAAAACTAAAACAAATAAAATTCTAAAATTTACTAAGTCAAATCTAAATAAAATAAAAATCCTAAAGTTACTAAAATAAAACTAAAACAAAATAAAATTCTAAAGTTTACTAAGTCAAAACTAAAACAAATAAAATTCTAAAATTTACTAAGTCAAATCTAAATAAAATAAAAATCATAAAGTTACTAAAATAAAACTAAAACAAAATAAAATTCTAAAGTTTACTAAGTCAAAACTAAAACAAATAAAATTCTAAAATTTACTAAGTCAAATCTAAAATAAAAAAAAATTGAAAAGTTTAAACTAAATCTAAACTAACTAAAAGAATTCTAAATTAATACTAATTTAAGACTAAAATAAATTGATTATAAGATTTACCAATATTAATTAATTTTATAAGTAAAAACTAAATTGATAAACTAATGCTAAAATAAAATAAAATTAACAAAGCAGGAGTGCAAAGATGGATTGGAGTGTTAGAAGTTAGTAAAAGTATAGGAACATACAAGCCCAAACTGCACTTCTAAATTTCTAATTATAATTATCACATTGATTAATAAATAGAAAACATGAAGCCAAAAAAAATAAAAATAAACGTGGGATGCTGAAGCCATTTTTATCACTAACAAACCAAATATCCACGTATACATCTATCACAATGGTTATTGAAATTAAAAAAATAAATTAAAGTCACAGCTAATCACAAGAAGACACATGGTTATTACTAAAAGAAAAAAATAAAATAAAAAAAACAAACTATAACATACCACTTACAGTATGAACAAATTTCTTCTCTTCCCTTCTACTAGTTTCTCTTCTTCCTCCTTACTGCTTGTTCTTCTTTCTAAATCTCAATTAAAAAATACAAACACAAATCATAAAAGAGAAATAGAAATGAATTATTGATAATAGGAAAGATCTATTGCATTGTCTCCGGTTGTGGGTTGTGATTGAGAACGATGGAATAAATTGAAGAATGGGTTTGATGGTGTTGTTACGGAAAGAGAAAGGTGAGAGTGTATGTGATGGTAGTTACGCGAAATGAAAGGAGATGGTGACTGGTTTGAAGAGAACTTCGCGGAAGATGAACATAACAGAGGGTGATGGAAGAAAGGTAGAATTGTGTTTGTTTTATTTGGAAGAGGAATTGAAGGGCGAAAGGGGGTTTGAAGGAGATGGTTATTGTTGGTGTCGTTGAACAAATAGCAAAAGCAGACAAGTTAACAGTGATAGTGCAAAAATGGGGAAATTTATGCTGAGGGTTGTGAGTTGGTTTCATCAGATTCAGGCATTGTTATCATCTCCTCCTTCACCAAAACACTGCTTGCACTTTTTTCTTCTTCTTCCAGCTTCAATTTTAATTCCTTAATCTCCTTATGAAAAGCTTTGTTGTCTTGTGTAATTGCATCTAACTTGAGCTTAAGAGCATCGTAATTAGCTTTAAGAACACCATAATCTCGTTCCAACTGTTTTGTCTTCCATCTTGCCCTCCGGTTTTGGAACCAAACAGCAACTTGTCTGGGCTGCAACCCAAGTTCTATGGCAAGCTTCTCCTTCCTTTCAGGTTCAAGCTTGTTTTCAACTTCAAAGTTTTTCTCTAAAGCCTTCACTTGATCCACTCTCAGTCGTCGTTTCTTCTCCGAATGATGACCCGCTTCTTCAACACAAACTTCCTCTTCAAATCCATCCAACATCATGGATTGAAACTCCATACCATACACATGTTTGTTCCTCGGACTATGTTCTTCTGTTGAGGGAGAGATTGTGATGAGAGGAGATGAAGAATCTGAGGTGGTGAGTCTCTTCATGAGTGAAAATGGATCCTAAAAAATAGAAGAACTAGCTATACAAGTTAACATCATCAACAACAACATGTTCTTATTTTCTCACCGCTTCTCCTTCTTCATCCATCAAACAATTCATACGAAACAACACACTCAAATCTCAATGCTCTTTCATCACTGTTTTAAGACGGTGTTACAAGAAGTGTGTAGAGGAAAAGAGTGGAAGGGTGGTGATGGTGGTGGTGATTGAACGGAAGTAGGGTGATTTATGGAAGAGAGTTTAGTGTTGGTTTAATGTACAGCGAAGATGAGAGGGGATAGAGGCAGTATCAGTATGCTAGCAATTGAGTTGAAGAGGGGAATATAGTGAATTGTTTTTTGTTATTTTTTTTGTTGTTTTTTTTTGTTGTGTATATAAGAAGAGAGGAGAGGTTACTGTGTATTGAAAGTGAATTGTGGTTTTGTGATTTTGTATCGATCCTCAATTTCAACCAACAGCCAATAGGAATAGAGTATAGTGTAAATAATATATTTTGTGATCAAATAGTCCTTAAATGATAAAATAACCAAAAAACTAAATGTATTAAAATTAACTCAATTTAAAATTATTTTTTTGAATATTTTATGAATAAAAAATAAAGACCCAAAATGACCGAAAATGATAAAAAAAACGGACGAAAATTTATTCAAAAAAATAAAATGAACACATTAATATTATCTACATGTCAAAAAGATTAAAGAAAAAAATATTCAAGAAGTCAAAAAATCAAAAATAAAATAATAATAAAAATATCAGACTAAACAGTCGTTTAAGGTTAAAAACGAGACTTCGAACTGTACCGAAAAAATAAAGCGAGCATACCGTCATAATCTACGCGAAGCGCAGATTCATAAAATGATCGGTAAAAGGTGAAAACTTGAAATATTTTCTCGCTACTTTCCCGCATAGTGTCGAATCGCTTTTAACAGTCTGTCTATAAAACCGAAATATTTTATTATCGACATATAAATAATTTGGAGCAGTGCAAGAAAATAGTAAACAGATAAAAATGAATGAAATGAAATGTCGGGTATTTTACAACTGAAAGACGATGCAAACTTTGATTTAAACTGACTTTTTCTGGTCAACTTGAATACGACTAATGATGCAAAATGTGATGAATGAAGATATTTACTAATGATTGTGACTAAATAACAAAATATGATATGAAAGTGCGACTAAAACATATTAGGGGAGAAATTTAGGGTGCGACAGTTATGCCTTGATGAATCAGTCTTCGAGAATCCATAATCAACCGTACTTTTGGCTTGGGAGACTCAAAACCTTAATTGAGGCGCGACACCTGATGCTCTTGATTCAGACTTGTCTCTGCACATGACACAAAAGAAAACATGAACATACACCTTTGTATGAGATTAGAAATTAGTGATACATATGCTAAAAATGTTCAAAACACTTGATAATCTTCGCATAGTCAAAGCTCGAAGGTGAGACGTTAAAACCGACCGTATTTCGTGACCTTGACTTATCTTAAAAAATGCAAAAATAAAAATGGGATCTTAGGTCAAAAATTGGGGTACAACACTCTGCTACTGCCGGTTATGACTTCGAAAATCCGATCAACTTAGCCGAAGACGAAGGTGAAGAGGATTGCGAAGTGCCTGGTGAGCTTGCAAGACTGTTACTCCAGGAAGAGAGGGCCATTCAACCACATGAAGAGCCAGTGGAGACGGTGAATCTAGGTACTGAGGCAGACAGAAAGGAAGTTAAGATTGGTGCCAATCTGGAGCTCAGCGTGAAACAATGGTTGGTGTAGATGTTGCATGATTATGTGGAAATCTTCGCCTGGTCCTACGAAGACATGCCTGGGTTAGATACCGACATTGTGGTCCATCACTTGCCGACTAAGGAAGACTGTCCTCCGGTTAAACAAAAGGTCCGCCGTATGCGTCCAGAGATGTCCGAGAAGATCAAGGCTGAGGTTATGAAGCAGTTTGACGCCGGGTTTCTAGCAGTGACTTCTTACCCTCAGTGGGTTGCCAACGTGGTGCCGGTACCGAAGAAAGATGGTAAGGTCAGAATGTGTGTCGATTACAGGGATCTGAATAGGGAAAGCCCCAAGGATGACTTCCCCCTACCTCACATTGATGTGGTTGTTGACAATACTGCTCAGCACAAGGTATTCTCCTTCATGGATGGCTTTTCAGGTTATAATCAGATCAAGATGGCTCCTGAAGACATGGAAAAGACTACCTTTATTACTCAGTGGGGCACCTTCTGCTATAAGGTCATGCCATTTGGATTGAAAAACGCTGGGGCAACCTACCAACGTGCCATGGTTGCTTTATTTCATGACATGATCCATCATGAGATTGAAGTGTATGTCGAAGATATGATTGCAAGGTCCCAGACTGAGGAGGAACACCTTGATCATCTGCAAAAGCTGTTTGACCGTCTGAAATTGTACAAGCTGAGGTTGAACCCGAACAAGTGCACCTTTGGGGTAAGATCTGGAAAGTTGCTAGGCTTCGTTGTAAGCGACAAAGGTATTCAAGTGGACCCTGCCAAGGCTAAAGCCATTCAAGAGATGTCAGTTCCTAAGACAGAGAAAGAGGTCAGAGGCTTTCTAGGACATCGGAATTACATTGCTCGATACATCTCCCATCTAACTGCCACCTGTGAACCAATCTTCAAGCTGCTGAAGAAAGATCAGGTAGTACGTTGGAATGATGAATGTCAGGCCGCTTTTAACAGAATCAAAGAGTATCTCCAAGAACCACCCATTCTTATGCCACCGGTTGAAGGGAGACCTCTAATACTATACCTGACAATACTTGACAGCTCAATGGGGTGTGTGCTGGGGCAGCATGACGAGTCTGGCCGAAAAGAGCACGCCATTTATTACCTTAGCAAAAATTTTACCGACTGTGAGACCCGATACTCACTGCTCGAGAAAACTTGCTGCGCTTTGGTATGGGCTGCTCGCCGGCTGAGACAGTATATGCTGACTCACACTACCTTGTTGATCTCAAAGATGGATCTGATAAAGTACGTATTCGAAAACCTGCTCTGTCTGGGAGAATAGCAAGATGGAAAATGATCTTGACAGAATACGACATCCAATACACGACTCAGAAAGCTATCAAAGGAAGTGTATTGGCAGACCACTTGGCACACCAGGCAGTAGACGACTATCAGTCAATGAACTTTGAGTTTACGGACGAGAGCATCATGATAGTGACTGATTGTGAAGTACCTGGACCGGATGAAGGACCTGAGGAAGGATCCCGATGGTCTATGCACTTTGATGGAGCCTCCAACGCTTTGGGTAATGGTATCGGCGCTGTGATCATATCCCCTCAAGGCACTCATACTCCACTTACTGCCCGGCTATGTTTCAACTGCACCAACAACATGGCAGAGTATGAGGCATGCATCATGGGACTCCAAGCTGCGATTGACTTAAGGATCAAGTTTCTGAGTGTCTTCGGAGATTCCTCTCTCGTGATTAATCAGATCAAAGGCGAGTGGGATACGAAACATCCGAATCTTATTCCTTATAAAGAGTGTGTGTTGACATTGATCCCCAATTTTACAGAGATAACTTTTGAACACTTCCCAAGAGAGGAGAATCAGTTGGCGGACGCGTTAGCTACGATGTCTTCTATGTTCAAAGTCAAGTGGGACAATGAGGCTCCCCGGATCATCATCTGGAAATTGGACGAACCAGCATATTGTTGTGATCTTGAGGCTGAGGTAGTAACTGAGAAACCCTGTTATCATGAGGTGAAAAGATACTTGGAAGCTCAAGAATACCCTGAAGGTGCATCTGTCAACGACAAGAAGTTTCTGAGAAGGTTCGCAGCGAAGTTCTTCCTCAGCAATGGCATTCTATACAAGCGAAACCATGATTCGACGTTACTGCGTTGTGTGGATAAGACTGAAGCAGAAAGGATCATGGCAGAGCTACATGAAGGTACCTTCGGAACACATTCTAGTGGACACACTATGGCAAAGAAAATCCTTCGGGCAGGATATTTCTGGTCCACAATGGAAGCCGATTGTTACCAATATTCTCGGACATGTCACAAATGCTAGATTTATGCAGATAAGGTGCATGTTCCTCCAGTTCCTCTAAATGTCTTGACTACACCTTGGCCTTTCGCAATGTAGGGGATAGATATGATCGGCGAGATTAAACCTACGGCATCCAACGAGCATCGCTTCATCCTGGTAGCGATCGATTACTTTACAAAGTGGGTTGAAGCAGCTTCCTACGCTACTGTAACCAAGAATGTCGTGGCACGGTTCATTCGGCATAACCTGATCTGTCGATACGGCGTCCCTGAAAGAATCATTACAGACAACGGTACCAATCTCAATAACAAGATGATCACTGAGCTCTGCGAGCAATTCAAGATACAACACCACAACTCTTCTCCTTACCGACCGAAGATGAATGGGGCTGTAGAAGCAGCTAATAAGAATATCAAAAAGATTGTGCAGAAGATGACAGTTACTTACAAAGATTGGCACGAGATGTTACCGTTTGCTCTCCATGGGTACTGTACCTCAGCAAGGACGTCAACTGGGGCAACTCCCTTTTCTTTGGTCTACGACATGGAGGCAGTCTTACCAATAGAAGTCCAGATACCCTCTCTCTGGATAATGAAGGATGCAGATCTGAGCGAAGATGATTGGATCCAGACACGACTTGATCAGCTAAATCTAATTGACGAAAAGAGACTGACTGCTATTTGTCATGGTCAGACGTATCAAAAACGGATGATCAGGGCATTTAACAAGAAAGTCAGACCACAAGAGTATCAAGTTGGTGACCTGGTAATCAAGTGCATCATCCTTCCTCAGAGTGATCCCAGGGGCAAATGGACCCCTACGTACGAAGGGCCATTTATGGTTAAACATGTGTTCTCAGAAGGAGCCATGATTCTAACCACCATGGATGGTGACGACCTTCCTCACCCCGCCAATGCAGACATAGTAAAAAGATACTACGCATGAT